CAAACGGATTTCGTACTCCAAAAGATTGGCGACTCCAAGCTTTGGCGTTAGCACCTCAGGAAAACGAGAACACAATGTTCTGATTGCTTCAGCCTCGCCAGGAGTCAGATGCCCTAATGGATCAACCTTTGGTTTGCTGGGTGTCTCAGGCTCTACCACAGCTGCACCATCCACAATTTCATCTGCGAAAGGAATGAGCACCCGTCTTGCGAAACGAAAGAAGCACTGGCCTCTGCCTAAATCCAAAATCAGGCCACAATGCTTGATGAAATCCGCTCCCAAAATGACAGGAATGCAAAGGTCCTTGGCTACCCAAAAACTCCACACCCAAGAAAAATGTTCAATCTTGAATTTCAAACGGGCTTCATAGATGATTGGAAGTGGGGATTTCGAGGCAGTCCAGCAGATGTGGGTACTTCGCTCAACTTGCTTGATTAGCCCAGAAGATTTTAGATTTTCAAACAGGGAAAGGGAAATGAGACAACGGGCTGACCCAGAATCCACAAGGGCCTTCTGCACCGTTTTACCTAAGAAGATGTTGAGTCGGGGGCAAGTTGAGCGCGCCGCTTTCACTCCCATGCATGCAAGCTCCCTCATTCCCCGCGACAGAGGCTCCCCAAAACCAGCACTCCCAGAAGGGGCAGTACTCACAGAAACCAAATTCCTGCTGACTTTCTCCAAAACAGCTTTCTCACAGGGCGGTTTAGGCAAACTTTCCCCTTGTGAGCTACTTAGGTTTTTGGACAAAGTCCCAAGATTAACCCTCTGACGACACTCTCGTCTCAAGTGACCTGTTAGACCACAGCCAAAGCAAACAATAGGACGCCTCTGTCTCTGCGGTGTTTCAGGACCTCGACACACGGATGCTACAGCGGGATGGGGACCAGTCCGGGGAAGATGCCCCGCAACGTGCTCCCTTTGACAATCAGCGTCTTGAACGCTCCGTGAAAGGATGACCAACCTATCCAGGTCTGCAAAAGAAGAAGGCTTTGGAGCAAAAATCAGTCTGGACCGCTCCTCAGGCTTCAATCCCTGCAAGACAATGTCCACCAGTTGGGGTTCAGGGATGTCCAGCCGTAGGACACGCCACACGCCACAAATGTCACCCACATACTGACTGAGAGTTTCATCCAATTTTTGAGGTCGAAACACTCTCTCAACCTTCAATCTCTCCATGACCCTGAAGGGGACAAAGAGCTCAAGCACTTCACTGTGAAAATTGTCAAAATTTACTCCCCGTTTCAAACAATCTAACAATTTGTCACCAAGAGGTCTCAGGCAGAGTGGAACCAGCAGTTCCAACACTACTGAGTCCTCCATGCCTGGGAACTCCTTCAGGTGCAACACCTTTCCCAAAAACTCTAACAAAGGTTCCACCTCTAAACCATCAACTGGGCGAATGTCGCTCAAAACCCCAGCAATGGGATTGGGCAGTGGAGCAAACAAACCCATTTTGCTCTCAGTCAGTCGGCTTACCTTCAAAACACACACAAAAATTTTACAACGAACAATTCACAAAATTAACTAACTAAAGGCTCTGGACTGAAATGCCTACAGTCAGATGAGGTCCCAAACAGAAGAACCTGCCCATACACACCGCCTAAGCCACCAAAACAAAAACACGGACTTACACTCACGACATACACACAACATACATACACTAAACAACAACACCTAACATTTGTGTGATGAGGTAAACACACACACACAGTTTCAATTTTGGGTTTGGCCATGCTTTTGACACTCTTGCTCCCAAAGGATGCAAGTCATTAACCAGATTCCACCCGGTGACTCGGCCAAGGGCGAGCTCCTAATAAAAAACTACAACAACAGTGTGCTTACCCCAACACGACAACATTTCTTCAAAAAATTCCTAAGACTGCCAGACCAGCATCACCCAAAAATCAAATCCAACCACCGCCCTTCGTGGATAGAGCACAAGAAACCACGCTCTGCTACCATCTGAGCCGACCCCTCGCACCGCCCCCAGACGAACAACTATTGGAAGCATGCCCCCCATAGTGACAGTGCGAGTGGCCGCCCCACATCCCTAACAAAATGAAAGGCCGTGGGTGAATATCAAAAAACAAACAGTTGTCAACAAAGCCTATATTAATTCCAAAATTCAACAAATAACAATAATCAACAATGTCAGCCATCCAAAGAATTCATTTAAAAATCTTTCAAAAAATTTACCCTTCTGAATTACAAACTGGTACCAGTAACAAATTAGGCCTAACAAGAAATAATTAAAGATGGTAACTGTAAATATACTTTAAACTTTGAAAAAATTAACAATTAAATAAATAACAATACTATAAAAATAAATAACGAAGAATCAATCATTTTGCGGGGCCCCCTTCAAATATAAAGTTTTTTTTAAAATGTTCGTAATTTCAAAGTATAACTTGCGTATTGCGTGGCACAACTATTATCCTTGCTGGTGGCAGGCGGTGGTGGTGGGTGACGATGAGTAGCTTAATGGTCTCCGGAGAAACTGGGCCATTGGCAGACCCAGGAGGTGGAAGATGGAGTGTCCCCCCCGGGCGACCCTCTCCGAGGACAGCAGCAAATCCAAGCCTCCCATCCGGGACCCTTTGAACACATTCCAGGCCTAACTAATAAAAGTCCATATAAACTTGAGAACATTAGGCCTACCAAGCTTTTCAAGAAAAATTCCATAAACAATTTCCGCACCACTCGTTCACTAACCAAAACTATTACAAATGAGATTTTTATTAAAAATATTTTTCTTTTAATAGGCTTTCCTTTATTTAAAACAGTCTTTAAGAGTTATAAAGAGAAAAATGACTAGACAAAATTAATTCAGATAAATAAAGCTTTAAAAACATAACAATAAATAGACTTTTAAATATTACTAACTTTAACAACACATTCTGACAGTAAAATTTTATAAAGATTGGAGTTAACAATAAAAAATATGAATTATCTGGTCCAGAAGGGTAAAACACATTAATCAAACACAAAACAATTATATAAATACTACAATAAACACTTCAAAAAACAGTTCTCACAAAATTTTAAAAATTCTTTGGCTGGAGGTGCATTTTTGGGTAAAACCGGTAATAACTCCGGTTATTACCAACCAAATTTGCTCAAATTGCTTTTAAAAGCTGTGGCACAGGTGCCCGCAGCTTTTAAAAGACAAACCCATGCCTACCAACTAGCCTGAGGCTAGGTAGGGGGTCAGTTACCTACGGTCACTCAGCAAACAGAAATGCGCTAAACTAAAACTTAAATAACTCGGTCATTTATTATCCAAACTTAATGAAAATTGCAGGGGACAAGTAAGAGCACTAATACTAACTAATTATGACCGAGCTTGGCCCCCAGGAGGCGCCATTACTTAACTAAAAAAAATTAGGCTGAGTGACATGGCCTACAATACAAATAACAAAAAAACACTATTACAGGGGACAAAGGGACAAAATTTACATTAAATAAGCTGTAGGCCACAATAACAAAACAAAATTGAGCACAAACTAGGCCTTAGGCCTAATAATAAATTAACAGGGACACAGAACAAACGGACCATAGCCCACACAAAAGAGAGTTTCAAAGTGAGTTTTCTTGGGTAATATCTGGCCTAGAGCCTCGGGGAAAGCTTTGAAAACTTGGCAACAACAAAAACTACTAAACTAACCAGAAAAACTTGTGGTTTGACCACACAAAGCTTGGCCAAAGGCCCAACAAAACTCTGTTCAATTCCAGCCTCAGAAATGGGTCTAGCGCCTTGAAAAACAAGTAATTGGTAATTAAAAGTAATACCAATGCACAGAAGGTGCTTAATACTTGTCTTTCACTAGCCAAAACCCACTCAAAGTCTGCACAACATGTGGCTGAAGGCCAAAACTAATTCAGAAACTTTCTAACCTAAACAAATCAAAATAATCAAACAACTTACTCATCTGACGACTGGCAAAACACTAACTACATGACTTGAGTAGACGATGAACAGAAGAACAAAATTAACAGTGACATTGAAGGATGAACACTGATATTCATCGAAGATAACCAAGTCTTGACAAATCGACAATCGCCGGCCTTCTGGTGAAAATGTGACAGAAGGCGGACATTGACTCTGGGTTGCAGGATTGCTGCCCGACCCAAACCGACTGAGTTCCGGCGCAAAGCCAGTACTCACACTATACAAAAAACACTGAGGCGTGACATTGGTGGGACGCTTGGTGGACATGTCACGGCTCAGTACGCTTGAAAAAAAGTTGGCAACACTTAAAGATATTATGACTACGATCAGCTGGTTTAGCGTTTCCCATTTCGTTCAATGTTTGGATTTAACCTTACCTAAAAACGTGTTGTACAGTGTTTGAAAGACAAATTATTTATATGATTTAAAGTAACTGTAGAAAAAATAATATGTGTAACAAGAGTGCAATCTGCCTTTGCTGCACTAGAGAAACTTTCCACTTTCGCCTATGGCTCATGCGTAGACATTTCCCTCGTGTGCAGCAAAGTGCCACTTTGCCCACTAGTTACACAAATAACTATTTTTAGTCAAAAGTGTTTAACAAAAGTATAGTATAGGTTAACTTTCTATATGAATTAGTTCTAAGATACTGTACTATTGTTGGTCATAATTATATTGGCTCTATTGGCTAGTAATTCTCAGCTGTGTCTAAGGAATATGTTCGCCTAACAACTATTCACTAACAAGAGTTGTCACTAACAAGACTACAAGATTGTGCCACTCATCTTATAATCATCTCCATTCATACTTGGCTTAAAATAAAATACCTACATTCTTATGGTCGCCATTTAGAAGTAAAGTCTTAACTATAGCACACTCCGCGTATGACTCATTCAACTACCGTACACTCTATTTTAACAAAAAGTTGGCTACAGTTGGTCCTTTTGGAGGGGATATCTACATCGTTCCAAAAGGAACGATGGTTTGAAGTAGACTTAATTCAAACCAAGAAATTACACATACAGTACCAGTGATGTTGTTGTGTTGTCAGCAACTGACGGAGAGTAGGATGCAGGAGATGCTGGCTGCTGGAGACTTTGCTGGAGCCATCTCTCTGCTGGTCGAGTGTCAGAGTGCGACGGCCTTGTATCGTCACTTCAGCTGTGTGGCTGCGCTCAGTGGCAAACTGCAAGACACTCTCGTCATGGCTGAGGAGCAGCTAGACCAGGCGTTGTCCGGGGTGAGACCAGTAGCCAAATAGAATCGTAAATTACATTGAATTCTTAAAAGTTGTGTATTTGATCTTGAGAAGTCAGCTGATCTTCATCATAAGGCTTTTAGTAAACGATACTGAGTAAAGAAACAGCTGATCGTAGTCAATAAAGCTACATAAGACATCTTACTTTAATTCTATACACTCATACTTCACTCATGTTTGGGTCAAGTCAAAATGTGCTCAGATTTGTTTCTCCATCTCAATTAATGATATAGCAGTACAGTAGAACTTTTTCTAATCAGTTAAGCAACACCGTACCACATTCGGATAGTAAAAAGTTCAGGTAATTGGATTTTTATTTATTATTGAAATTTGGGGTGTTTTATAGAAAGTAGGCTACTTCAACCTAATAGCGAATAAAACTAGAAAACACTACAAGTTATATGAGTGGTTTAGTAGAGTCGTGCGAGCACCTTGATTCCTGAGCTGAGCTGAATCAAGCCAAGCTCATGTGATCGAGCACCAAGTACACAAATTGAGCCGTAGTGTTACTGTATAGAACGCATCTGCAAATATTTTGCAATCGAAAAATCCACACTTCTGACACCATTGTGAAGGTTAATGATAAGGGTTTTGTGACCACAAGAGACGATGTTTGATATCTGCTCGATTACGGGAGAAGTTCAGGATTTTCCACGATCACAGGCCATGGCTATTAGGTTGAAGTAGCCTTCTTTAAAATCTATTCTTATTACTAAAGTTTATAAATAACTGAGGTTTTTAAAATTTGTTCTTTAAGCGATCCGAATAATCGGTGATTTGTATAGTTGTAGTTTGGACAATTGGAGCTCTACTGTAGTATAGTTTGTTTGAGAAAAATTATTAGGCTATGGAATGAACTTAACTTACGTTAAAAGCGAGTTTCAGACAGTTTTGGATACACAAAAAATTCACTAATCTGAAGAAGTCTGTGGAGGGAAAAATTTAGGTTTTTATCCTTAATGAAAATGTGTCCCTACTACTTACTATTTACCCTACAGTGGATTCGCAATAAAAGTTTCGCAATTGCAAGAATCCCTTTAACAAAACACTTAGCCTACTTAATTAATTGTCATAATGTGCTTAGGTGTGTTTTAACATGTACAGTTATTGAAACATGAGTAACAATGGTTGATAAACTTGAGTAACTCAACCACTAACCTCCTAATATACTAATAACAAGGGATGTTTAACAGGATATTTTAGGCCTAAACCAGAGGGATTCAAGCTTCTCTTATAATGAAACCAAATACTTTTGGATCATTTTTAAAAATAACTAACAGTATATTCAGCTCTACCTAATTTTTGTAATAGTACAACGCATAACAAAAATATTCTCAATTTCAATATTTCACCCATCAAAATCATATTTCTGTAATATTTTCACTTTCATTCTACAATCTTATTGTTATAGGTATGTTACAATTTTGACGAGTCCATCTACAGCAAGTTGCAGGCAGCTTACGCTTTATTGGGCAAAACACAGATAGCTATGGATCAGCTGCACATGCACTTCACTTCGGCTGTGCACAACTCTGCATACAAAGTTGTGCATGCGCACACACAGCAAGACAGCAGCAAGAAACAGTATGCAGCTCTGTGCAAGGTAAGGATAGAGTTTGTGATTTGTAGGGTTGGGTGTGACTGGATGATAATTTTGATATAGGATTGAGATTAAATTTTAATATGATAAATAGGTTACATACCTTATAAATCCGACAAACAGCTCAATTTGACAGAATGTTGTTTACTTCTTTCGGCTTGTAAAAACCCAACCTAGGCTGGGCGCACACTGATGCACCATTCCACATGAAGCAAAATGTTGCACAACGATTTGCTTGAAGCATTTTGTTTCTTTGCTTCTCCAGTGTGTGGGTGTTTCGAGCATGATTCAGCATTTTGTTTAAAGCAAAAATAAGAAAAAAAATAAAGGTAATTCTTACTAGTCCTCTACTACACTATAGTATTGTTTTTACATGTGTGACGAGGAAGTCAACGTAGCTATTGATGTATGTCAGTTTTTGCAAAATGATGGACTAGAAAGTAAACATTGGGTTCACACAATCAATCTGCTGATAGACAGTAAGGCTTTTCTCTCAGAAATTAAATCAGAACCAGGGAAAAATTTTACAATTATTGTCGAATATTGCTATACTATTTTATTGGAAGGGTTTTAAATACTGTAAGTGATAGTGTAAGAAATTATTATTAGATAATGTCGTGATGGTTATAAATAACCTTGGTAATTTCTTAACTATTTTACTACTTTGCATGGGCTGTATGACTATCCAAGTGGTAGGAAGAAAAATGTAACAACAATTTTTCCCTCTTCAACCTACTCCCTGAAATTTTCCTATTCCAGTAAAAAATATCAGTCTTGTTTTGTTTTCAATTACTCCTGATTTGGAGAGACTTCTTCAGTAATGTGTTATCGCAATCAAGAATCCCTGGCCAATTTTTAACTATATTTTTAATCCTTTGCCTTTTAAAAGAGTAGTAGGACTTGGTTGAAATGACTTAAACTTTGTTACAGAGTGTTCCAGAAGACAAATTCATCGTCTGCTTGGTGGAACTATGTAAAGCCCTGTGGGGAATCGTGCTGAGTTACCATCAAGTGGTAAACTGGCATCAGCAACACAACACTCAAACTCATGTTGGAGGTTCGTACCTACTATCTTAATTGTTGTGTCGTGTATTTATTTAGTACCGTATTGTTAAGTAACTAAAACTTGGTTCTCATATAAAATTTTTTATTTTTATTTACCTAACTCTCTTGGCTATTGAGACTAAGCAGGTTTTTCACCTTGCCAATGATGCCTCTTGATTATTCTCTATCCTCCACTGATTCAGTTGTGGTCCACATTATAGAAAGATAAAGTGGAGCAGATGTAAAGAATATCGCTTATTTTACTCTCTTTGAATATCATTTGGGATACGGTATAGAGGTCTGGGAGAACCACTGCATTCAATCTAGAACATACATCCAAGAAGAGGGAAATTTGTTGCCTATTTGCCATTGCGCAAAAGCAAGACAGCTGTTGTGGGCTTTTCTAAGAACAAAAATATGCTAATAGCCTCCTAACAAAGCAGACATATTGAATTACACCATCACAACACCAGACATACATCAGAAATCATCCTTTCAATCATTAAGTCAACACTCACAGAAAGAAAACCGTCCTAAAAAGAAGCTGCATATTTCAACCTCGTTCCAGAACACCTTAAGCAAGAAATTAACTCATCCATATTCAAGAACAAACAGACTGGCTACTGGTTCACCCAAACAGATAACATGATCTGTTTCCGTACAACGTTGCACTAAATAAGTAAATATACTATACTATTAGGCTGTAGGCCTACTGTTCCCAATGAACATATGAATAAAGTATACAGTACAGTGTCAACTATCCGAATCAATTGGGGCAGAAGGGTGTTCGTATAGTGGTTTTTCTTTTTGATAATTGGGCATCAACGTAAAATGGGCGTATTTATTTGTTAAGGGTAATTAGAATCCCTCAATCTTAGCATAAAGTGTATAATTTGAGCTACAATCTACATTATTGCGATTGTTATAGAAGCTTTAATTTACTGTAATACTACTGTGAACATCAACACAGGTAGTGATATCGCTGAGATCTTTGGCTAACCTGACCATATCAACATGATCGTCATTAATTAATTAATTGTTAATAGAACAATAAATCATAGCACACTCAGCATTACATATAAGCAAAGCATTGAGCCTAGTATACTATGCTAGTGTACTGTGCAGGCTTCCGCCCTCACTGTCCAGCACAGACGCAAACATTGTATAATATATGCACTGTTCTTGTTAATATCAGTGGTTGTCGAGTTCCCAACACCAACATAACAAGCTAAGTTTGAACCAAATGCACCGTTTTTCAGCCAATCTAATACATATTTTAAGTTTGTCAGACAATGTACAAGACGTTCACTTTTTAAGGTGTTTCATAATCTTGTTGTGCAGAGGGGGACAACTTTGAGTCGTCGCTGTATGAGCAGTACGTCCATCAGAAGCTTGAGGCTGGACTGAAGCGGTTGTGGCATGACACTCAGACCAGGGTCTCGCCTCTGTTCCTGGCCGCACAGCTCACTCACTACAAGTTTGACGAGTTTCTACAACTGTTGGCTATAGTGCATCGGTGAGTAGCCTACAGCATAAAGTGAGAGTATTTGGATGGCTGTGACATTGAACATTATTTTGTGTGTGTTTCAACATCATTGACCTTATTTTTAAATTTTTAGTAAGGGAATGGCCTTAACTCTGGCCTTTTTGCTTTCTAAAGTCGTACTTTTGTTAGATTTGTTTATAAAGAAGTTAGCTGTTTTTTTTTTACCTTGCATTTTCCCACAAACATGGGCCACAGAGGTGTGTGTGTGTGGAAAGTATCCAGCAAAGCAAGAGGTGAGCCAGTAAAGTACATGGATGAACTGTACTGCTAAAAAGTAGTGGCAGGTACCAGTACTCAAACCTAAGGCAGCGATGTTGTAGCCTTAGGGCCGAATTCCATGGCGCTATTGACTGATCACCGACTTGCCATTAAGAAACCTTATTAGTTATCACCAGCAGTTAATTAGATTAGATAGCAAAATTAGTTGATAGCTTAAAGACAATAATTAATATTTGAGTCGATTAATATTAGAGTGCTTGACACCATTCACACACTTTACCTTGACCACTTTTAACGACTCGGCTACCCAGCAAAATAGGATAAAGAGTTTATTTTCCGTCCATTTAGTATGCCTAGACCTTTGCTTTACTATTCCAACTCCTAACATCAGGCTCAAAAATTAGTTTTTAAATTAACTTTTACTACTATGTAAATCATGATTAAAACATGCTCTATTTAATTATTTTTATTTGGCTTATTAAACGCCACTTATAAATAATCTTTTATATTGTGACCTAATTATGTATCAGGTTAGAACAAATAGGGGAAGAGTTTTGTGGAAGTGAGTCAGAAGAGTTGCAGAACTGTGTTCAGGCTCAAAGCAGCAACTACTTCCGACAGTACCACACCACTAGGCTGGACGAGCTGAGGATATTTCTAGAAAACGAAACCTGGACTCCGTGTCCTGTTAGGGATGACTTCAGTCTCCTTCATCTACAGGTTACAATTCAAGCTTACTTTCCTTACGTTGATCATCAAAATTTGTTAAAACTGTTGGTATTTCAACAATAAGATACATATACAATAATAGTAATTAAGAATGGTGATTGCATTCCACTTTTTCAATTTTTACACTACTATTATTACCATGTATTATGCTTTTTCTAAACGAACGAAAAACTCCGATCCAAAGCAGGGAATGCTATATATACGTTGACCTTTTAGAAAGCATTACTACTTATAACTCAATGACAAATGGTGACTTGGTCCAGAAATTATTCTTATGGAGATTGAACCGACATATTTAAGATTTTAAGGCTATAGTATCCAATAGTCAATTGCTATATTTTAACCATTTGGCTTCACAGACAATTTTAATTGCGGCCATGAATATTTGTAAAAAAATTTAATTGCTTAAAAAATTAAATATTCTAATATAGGTACATTGTAATTTGTTCAATAAGTAGAACAAGTTATATAACTTTGTTGTGTTTTCCAGTGTGGTCTTGATTCTGCATCCAATATAACTCTTTTTTATTGTTTTTTGTTTACTTATAATACCAAATAGACACGTCATAATGGTTTGTATTCTTTCTCATCAAAATAAGATAATGCGTACAACACAAACTAAGTGTGAATGAACTTAAACGTTTTTGTCTGCTGTGCAGGAGTTCCGTGGAGTGCGAGGTACGTTGCAGCAGCTGGCAGGTGGAGGGGGAGCTGTTTCCCGTGGCAGTGGCTCTCTAGATGGCAGCTCTGTCGGTGGCAGTTTCTTCACTCGGTACGCCAAGCCCGGCAGTGGCACTCCGTTTGACTCTTGTCCTGACGTTGGCGATCTGTCTCAAGACGAGAACATTTTGGATGTTACTGTGAGTTTCCTTAGTCATTAATTACATTGGAACAAATATGATAGCTTTTAGATTTGGACGATATATTATAGCTGGATAGCTCAATGGTTATAGTGCTCACCCAGTAAATAGTAATGAAAAGGTTACTGGTTTGATCTTGAGATAAGTGGTAGCTTTTTGATGGTTCGAAGCTGGTCCCAGCTGTCCTTGATTATTGGTCTCTTAAATGTTGCAGACTAATGAAACATCTGGTCGTAGTCAGTAACAAAGCTACACAAGGCATCACACTCCATTCTACACTCATATTTGAGTAAAAATACGCAAATAGTTAATACGTCCCCATCTCAAACGATAATAATATAATAATGATAATATAGCTTCTCATATGTATTATTTTCAATCAAATTAATTAAGCCATGCATGTTGCTTATTTGTATCAAACATCAAGATACTCTCAATGTAAAATGGTGTATTGCCGTGCATAAACAAATAAATAATCAAACCAAACAAGTATACAGTTTGATGTTAAGGATGTAACATAGAGGGTCTAGATTTTAGGATTTTTGTGAGGATAGCAGCTTACCTGATTGGAAAAAGAGTTCAAACTGGCACAAGAGACACATTACTTTACACTATTATACACAAAACAATTGTTTTTTGAGTCGTAGTCACTAAGAGCATTTTCAACTAAGAAAGAGTTTTTTTTAATTTTTTTTAAATTGAATAGCCTAGTGAAAAAAATACTTGTGGATCCCTAACAAATCTTAATAAAGTTCATTAGTTAAAACTGACTGACTAAGAATTCAAGAGGTATTCGACATTCCCAACCAAACCTTAAAACACAGCTGACCTACAAAGTATAGCTTGAAAAGTCCTACAAATCATTTAGGGGAGTAAAAAATACTATTTGGGAAATATCTTTTAAAGTGGGTCGCACATGCGGTGTTAACCAAGTGATTCAAGACTAGTGTATTCATCTACTCATTTGACGAACATTAGTGTGTGTTATTTTTAGCTCAGTGTCGAATGAATACTCGCTTTCCCGTAGAATAATTGCTCGGAGAGTGACAAATGTGTTAACACCTCTGCTCGGTAATTGGCAAATTTTAACCAATTGACTTCTTGTGGATCTTATTTATACTTTTTACGTTTTTGATCTTCGCATTAAATGTTGCAGGATCCATCGGGATACTTCAGTGAAGAAAGTGACGATGACCATGCTGAGATGAACGGTGACTCAAGTAGCAGCAGGTACTTACAACATTTCTAAAATACCAATGAAATTAAATAACTATAAATTTAACCATTAATTCACTTAAACAAATTTTATCCATCTAAATGCATTGGCAGTCAAAGTCACAAATAAGGAAAATCTAATCCTCATAGCAAGTAGTTTTGTTAATGAAATCAGTTAATAATTACAAACAATGATTTACAAACAATTAAGAATTATCCTTAAAATTTACAAAAAAAAAATTAAGAAAATCATTACTTAAAAGAATTTTCCACCAGCAATGGATTCACACAAGCAATGTTCTCAGTTGTCTTGTGCCTTCTAAATGTGGTAGGGTTTGACTTGAATTTTTAAATGTTTAGAAAAAATAAGTTTGGTCTTGTTGTATAACAGGTGTGTTTTTCTTTTTTTTAATGTGGTTGAATGATTTGAAACCTGAAGGTGCCTACCGTCCTCAAGGTTTTTGTGGTTTGGTCCTGGTGGTGGTATATGGGGAGTGGATCCTTTAAAGCCACTTTCTTAAATTAGAGGGGAAAATGTGTTGTTTTTCAAATTTATTTTTTGTTAAAGAAGAGATACTTTTAAAATTCTTTATTGACAGAACATTATTTTATGACTTTTAAAAATACATAAATTAACTTTATTTACTATTTTTAAACAGAAATAGGAGAAGACAAGAGAGTTCGGGACCTCTGCTTACCAACACCACCCTGACTGTGCTCAGACATTGTGGCAAATATCTCCACATGAGCAAGCTGCTGCGCTCCAACTCCAACGATGTTGTCATCTGTCTCAGTCAGCTTTTCGATTATTACTTGTACGCCATCTTTTCGTTCTTCGCTTCTGATCTACCAGTGAGTTTTAAAATAACTTTCGGCCATGCTCTGTTGGTACATCTAGAAGGTTTAAACTGCATAAGAAATTAACCTGACCAACGCCATAGCCTCCTGTAATACAAGGCGGTGGCGAAGTGACGAAAGACAAAAGTGGCAGTGCAACAGACCCAGCATATTGATACAGCTGTTGCACTAATTTATAGTGGAGCGTAGGTGCAATGTTCATGTTTACAAATTTGTTATTCCTGTTATTACAATGGCCGGTGCGACGTTGCAACGTACCAACGCCACGGCCTTGTTTTATAGGAGCTATTCTAATGCACATTTACTTCAGCATTTAGATGATGTGTAAATACGTAGAAGTGGATTTACTAAAAGAAGGATCTGGGTTTAGTTGAATGCAATAATTTGTATTCAACCAATTATAAGAAAATAGTTTCCAAGTCTTTTAAGATATTTAAGTTAACACTTAATTTGTGTTTCAGTCCATGGCTCCTAGTGGCATTTTGTCCCTAAAACTGCAATCAACATTGAAACGCATAAGGGAATCTTTAACTCACAATGAAAGAGAAACTAACGCATGTGAATTCAGGGTGAGTTTATTATTGAAGTACCTTAAGATACATACATATTTGCTTATTTGTGTAAGACTATGCATATGTTTGTAAAATTGTCCTCTGGAAATGGAGAAGATGGAATGATGGGGGGGGGGGAGAAGAGAACGGTGTTCCTTTAATTTAAAATATAAACTAAAATGAAGTACTCCGTACTAAAACAGTCATCAGAACAGTTTTGCTGTAATCTTTCTATGCTCACCCCGCCTGTTCCTACAACCCATTCGATTCAGTACTAAATGTCACGTTTTATGTTTGTTGTGTTCTATGTGGTTTTTATCATTTTGTCAATCTCTAACATCAGGGATTCCAATCCAAAGATTAATTTTCCGCAGCACCTAACAGCTGTAGTTGATTTATACTAAGAACAAAAAGGAATGTTCTGACAACAACACAAGTAATCTAAACCCCTATTTGTTTATTATGTCATTCCAAAGGTCAATCCATCGTGAAATTGAATTTTCACTTTCTTATTCTTTGTAACATTTAATTATGCTATTATTGTGCTAAATCAAAAGTCATGACTTAGTGTTGTTGTAGGTAGGAGAGCCCAGCATGTCTATGGTGGTAGACCTATCCAGTACGGAGACACTACATGGGCTGGCAGAGAGGGTGGTGGCTGTGGAATCTCTAGTCTTCCTTGCTAAACAGTTCACTTCCCTCAAGCCGTACTTGGAACACCTCCAACCTCAAAGTCACACCCTCCATGTCCTCTACAATCAGGTATAATTATTTTCTTTTTTCATAGTGTGATTTTTTGCCAATCAATATTTTGCTTTTTTAGTTTGTTAGTGACATCAACACAGTTTTGAAAATATAATTCTTGAAGAATTTTAATTTCAAAATCTTTATAATTGTTTGAATTTGTATACAGCTAATGTTCGTTTTGGGAGTGAAAACCCAAACAAATAGATGCACAGTAGCAAAAGATAGTATGCTTTGTAAACATACTTATATATACATGCGCTAGCTGGTTTTTCATTCGCAAACCGAACTGCACCATTGATATTTGGGCATTTAAAATTATCTTGACCAAAGTACCAGCTGATCTTAATCAGTAACAAATATGCCGTCTCATTAATTAAACACTCATTGTCCACTATCATCTTAGAAAATATACCTGTCTGTGTCGGTGTCATAAAAAATAAAATCCATCATCATTGCGCTATGACCAATGATTTTTTTCCAGTATTTATTGATTGTAGGTCTACTGGGTTCATAATAACAAATAGTTACACCACTAAGTAATAAGACTCTGTTTAGACTTTGCAAGCTTAGTGGTTTTTCAATCGGGTATTTTTATATTTATAACCATCCAAGCTATATGTCCATAATTTAATAAGAAAACATACACACTTTCACTGAAAAAGGAAACAGTTATACTTGATAACATTGTCAATACTATTCATCAACTCATTATTTAATACAGTAATATTAATCATCGCCAAGTTGAGACGTATAAGATGCAGGATTGTGTTGTCTGGCTTCAATTAAATGTCATCAACAATCAAATGTGTCAACACAGATGGTGTCTGCGCAAATGCTGTATGTGTTGTGCGCATATAACGGTTCTGCTTCACAAAGTTGTAAAGCTTCTAATATTTCTAACTAAAATTGTTAGAAAAATAAGTTGAACGAGGGCACCCGAGCACAAATTGTGCATTACCGTATTCAAAACAAACACAAACAAAACGTATTGTTTTGATTCAAAACTTTTTTCCAGGTAAAACAAACAACGCAATACCCTCTTACTTTTCAAAGATTATGTTTGTTTAAGACAGTAATTGTTTAGTGGATTAAAACTACTAGGTAATTTATAGTAAAATAAATTTGCTGATGACATGATATTTATAGGGACAATCATAAAAGTTGCAATAGCTTTTGAACCATATTTGTACAGCATTTGTGGGTTGTACTATTTTGTTTTCAATCACAAGGACCATAACATAGTGACCAAATTTTAATAAAAACCGGTTGAATCTTTTTTTCCGATTTTTGGTTATTTTATGATTCTTTATGGGGAAAACAACACAAGCTGCAATAACTTTTGAACCGTAATTTTTATAGAAATGAGATTCGTGCCATTTTGTTCAGTTTTGAGGACTTCAACTTATCATAATAAATTTTTATCAAAATCGTTCAGGCCATTTTTGAGAAAATCCTATTCTCCTAAACTACTCGGCATTTAGAAAGGATTCGTCTCATGACTAGAGAGGTTAGTAAATATTTTTGGTACTGTAGCCAACACATGCTAGAGGAATGCATTACTCTTTCAAGTGACTTGCTTTGTCTTTCGCTAACTCATACATAAAACTAAACCAAAGTGTTCTGGTAACAAACCAAAGACAGTAACCACATTCTGATTGTCGTGTTCAGTCAGTGAGTATAGCAGAGGAGGTGCGCAGGCCAGTGTATGCCTGTGTCGCATGGAGAGCCGTGGACGTGAAGCAGACTTTGTCACTCATGGCTCGTGTCAACTGGGAGGTCAAGGACGTCATGAGTCAGCACAGCGGCTATGTGGACTTGATACTGAGGGTGAGTATAAGTTTCTACTAGCGTCTTTCTGTACTCTTTTTAGACCAGAAAGTCGTTTACTGAAAGGGACGGTAAAATCAGCTGGAGTACAATAAAGAAAACAGGAATATGGTATTGCTCAGTTTTGCAATAGACTACAACAATGTTATGCTGATGTCCATGATGCTACCTCCCCCTCCTCAGTGCATATGGACTAGTCCACCACAGTATTGTGTTAGTGTGAATCAGTTTTTTTGTCAAGTGCCATCTTGTAGAGTCTTGTGATAATGTACTAATTAACCCAAAATGGATTACAATGGAGAATAATGTGGAATTCCACTTGATATAATAGTTAAGTTAAAAAATAGCTCAAATCTGCTGCCTGGTATGTAAAAACAGGTATGAGCTAGAGTATTCCATGTTTACAAGAGGTATAAGATGGTAATATTAGTAATGTCAAGTCAAGTTAGTCTACTGTCTAAATTAGAAAAAAAACATGTAGTATGGCGAAATTATTACAACTTACCCGGGAAGGTTGATTCCATCCCGGGAACCCAGGAACCGTAGTCCCGCGCTCTAACCACTAAACCAGCTCGCTCCCCACCCGGGAAGGTGTTTAGGTTTACAGTATCCGAATGAAATCCTGCGCTTAGTAAACTTCTTCCATAATCAACAGAAAAAAGTAATTTACCGTTTTCCATAAAGATTTGGCTATAGCTGGTGTGTATGGGATGCCTACACAAAGGTTGACTCACACACATCAGTTCCGGGACGTTACTGTGAAAATTCCGCAGTATATTGTATTTATTTTAGTCCACTGAGTGTGCCTTTGCTAAATTATTTTATCTCTTTCACTTTATACTTTTATGTTCTGAAAGTGACAGAAATAAGGTAGATCTACTCAAAGGTTCTTTGTTTTGGAATGAAACAAACCAAGTCAGTAATAAGTTTCAATAGTAGAAGTAGAAGTAGAAGTTTCAATAAGTCATTGAAACTTCTTTTCTTAGTATTTTAGAAAAGTAGTGGCTACAACCTTTACTTAACGAATGCATTGTGTGGTTGTAATATTGTAATTTATAAATTTTTCAGGATTTGCAAATTTTTAGCATGAGACTAGAGGAAATATCCAAACACATAAAGATACCTGCAGCAGTCACAGACAGTTTGTGGGGCAACATCGCTTATCAGCTTGCAGATGTGTTTGTCGAAGGGTGAGTGTAACTATTGTCGTTATCTTACCATAATCAAAGTAAATCAGCCTCTGAGAAGAGTCTTTGTTGACTTTAACAGTTTTTGAATTGTTTTCTCACTAAATTACAACATAAGGCAAACTGTAGATCGAAACCTAAGTTTATCTCCCTAAACAAAAAATGTCTAAGACTGAATTGAATATAAATTCTGTTGACCGTGATGGTTAAGTTTCGATCTAGAAGCATACTTTTAGTAAAGTAGCATTTTTGAGAGTCACACTGTTTAAAATCTACCTAATTACAGTAGACTCCCTCTAGTTCGGCTTCGGTTGGATCGGCCGCCGGATGGTCCGGCCCGGTCTCAGGGGGACAAGTCATATGTCACCGGCGAATGACCTTCGACAGGATTGAACGTGAATGTTTAGTTTCCGGCCATAGAAGTAAACAATTCATGTCAGTTTAGTTTACGGGTGCTTCTATGGGTGAATTGTTGCATATTACAGATATTACCTATGTAAAACTATGTTACATAACCTCAAAAATACCAAGAACATTTTTTATAAATAATTTTTCTTCAGTCGAATATGTTGAAATGCAGTGTGTAATTAAATATTTCGGACCACTTTTTTATGCAGTAGGTTCCCCCATTATTGTTTTTGAAACACTACGGTTTATTTGACAAAAATAAATTAAAGCAAAACAAAGAAATAGCCATCGTTAGCTTCAAGGTCAAGCTATCCGCTTGCACTGACAATCATCTGCTCACACAAACTGATGTCTGCTGTGCACTTGCTTGCAGTTTGTGATTGGGTGATTAGTAACTATGGCAACTTGTTGAATGTGTGGATGAAGAGAAACCAAAGAGGCAAAGAAAGAATAGAAGAATAAAGAAGAAAGAATAAGCGGTGTTTTACGTCATCCATTGTTATCTTTATCATATTTTACGACTGTCCTTATTATCTTTAAGACTAAGTACTATGATTTTATGCTGTTTTATAAACTGTCTAATGTTTTTATTGACGTTCTTATGCTCTGAAACAACATTTAGTAGTAGCCTATGCTGACTACGGTAGCTTGCAGTACTAGACTTTCTATTGTTCTGTTCTTTACGTGATTTATTGCTGTACGTACAGTGTTGTGTAATTTTTGTTTTGATTGAGTAAGCAAGATTTTAAACGTTTCAGTTTTTATTACTGAACCAAGGTTATTGACTTAACATATCACGATTGCGCAATACTATCATTTGTATTTTGATTATGTAAAATGCACTAAATCCGGTTAGTCCGGCCGTTTTGTAGTTCGGCCAGTGGTCCGGTCCCGAGGTGGCCGAACTAGAGGGAGTCTACTGTACCAAGCTATTCTTTTCCCTACCCATAAAGACCTAATAAGTAGGTAGCCTAAATAACCTGGGTAGTGTTTATAGTGCTTGACTTCAAATCCCTTGTCGATTCCAAGGGACCACAGATTTCATGGGCACAGATTCCATTAATTGCTAGGCTGTCAATTAATGACACTATCCAACCTTAGAAAGTAACAAGGTCAGGGATTGTACCCATACCCTTACAAAAAACATAATATGTCAAAGGCATAGAAAACAAATGAAAATATAATAACTAGTTACAAATTAACAAACAGATTCTGAGTGAAACTATTTTGCTATCTTAGGTTTGCAAGTGCGAAGAAGTGTTCGAATGGTGGCCGAGGCTTGATGCAGCTTGACTGGACTCAGCTAGTTTCTCAGGTAGAGAAGATGTGCTCACTGCGGCCCATACCTCATAGAGAGCTGGTGGACGCATATGTCAAGGCGTACTACCTACCCGAGTCTGCTCTGGAGACCTTCGTGCGTGAACATAACGTAAGTCAAGTGACCGAGGAGTTTTTTGCATCACCAGGACCACGAATAGGATGTTCAACTCGCACTCATAAAGCTCCAGATTACCTTAAAGACTATGTTACAAGATGGGTTCAAAATAAGTGGGGGATATTGTAGTGTTCTTTATACTGTATATGATCAGCTGTCATTAATTAAGAAACAATGTTTTCTTTTTTCAATTTGCAGTTTGTAAAAAGAGTTCAAATGTGTGCTTCAAATATTATTAACTCTAATTCAGAGTCACAACACTCGTCTGATGAGAGCTGTTGTATCATCTGCATAAAGGGTAAAGTTACAGATTTGACTTGAAAAATGAAAAGGTAAATCAATATATGTGAGGAGTAAGAGAGGAGCTAGGATTGAAGCTTGTGGAATACTAACAAATGTTTATTATTTTTTAGGAGTACTCTAGCAAACAGATGTTGGCACTGATCAGCTGTGCTTGCCAGACGAATAAGAAGCTCCGCCAGAAGCTGACTGCGTTAATCGAGGATCAGGAGCGTGTCAACACCAGATGACAAGACTGATGTAGGGTAGAACATTGTAAATATCCATGTATTATAATTATGCTTCGTGTATTATTTGTAAAAAATATGTCAGACATATTAATTTTTTATTATAGCACTATATGTAGTATAAATGTACCATATACAATAAAAATGTACTTATGAAACAAATGAGTTGTCTCCTTTCAATCAGATTTATTAAGTGCTAAACCTTGAAATGAAGGTAGATATCTAACGTTTATATAAGCTCTCTTCAACTAGGGGTGTGTACTTTAGAGAAAGACCTTTGTGATTGTGTCAGAGCCAAACTAATCTCAAAACAAAAAAAATTTGGAAAAGTTTCGGATTTGAGATTTGGTTGACGAGTTTAAGTTTCTGTTTTGAAATTTGATCAGTCACAAAGCCTTCTGTTTTTGTTGTCTCTATTATTCATTTCTTTTAACCAGTCTGATCTCAGTAATCTCAAAATAATGTGCAATATCCATTAATGTTCTCACAAGGAAACACATTCTCTATAATGCACATTTTGACGTCACAACAGAACGCCCTACTGTTATTAAATTTAAAAATCTGTTAAAGGAATTTGGAATGACATATATTAACACTCTTCCAACTCGAGAAGATGCGTGTCTAGACAATGTCATAACAACCCACCGAACTCAAGATTACAATATGGATGTAGTAAATTGTTTTTTCTCTGACCATTCGAGTATTACTGTGACCCTAAACGTGGAACGACGTGCAGATACGCCCAACTCCAAAGTTTCCTATGGAAGAAATTTATCTAAAAAAAGACTCGATGTTTTAAAACAACACTTGTTTATGGTTGATTGGATGCAAATTCTACATGGAGAGGAAGAAGCTGAGTCCGCTTTTAATAAGTTTTTTAAGGTTTTTTATGGTATTTTTGATGAAGTGTGTCCTCGTAAACCTTTGAGAAAACCTACTATTAACCGAAACGTGCCTAAATTGAACTGGTATACACCTCAGCTGGAACATCTAAAAAATACCATGATGGCCTTCAGAACTATGCTCCTTGTTCAGCGAAGCAACTTAACCGAACTGGCATATAAGAAAAGCAAGCAAGTTTACAAGGAGGCGGTTAATAAAGCTAAACTTAATTACAATGTTGAATACATAGAATCGTCTGACAACAAGTCAATGGCTGCTTGGACACTTGTAAATAATCTACGGAGCAAGAGCGTCAAGTCACCAGAGATCCAGATTCCCCCAGAGGAGTTTAACTCGTACTACCTTTCAGCTGTTCAGGAGGCCAGAGACAGCATCATTCAACCCCAGACTACTGCGCTTGACTTCATGGAAAATTCACCTTTGCCTGAAGAAAACTTCAAATGGGAGGAAGTGTCATGTGCAAATGTGCTCAGTGTCGTGAAAAAAATGAAAAAATCTAAAAGTAAAGATATCTTTGATCTTTCTAATCATCTAGTCAAATGTGTAATCGAGTCCATTTTGCTTCCTCTAACCTTTTGTATTAATTTGTGTCTTAAACAGGGTATTTTTCCCTCTAAGCTTAAAATATCAAGAGTGGTCCCCCTGTATAAAAAAGTGGTGAAAAATCTGTGCCAAAGAGTTACCGACCGATTTCTATAGTACCAGTTTTAGGCAAGGTTGTTGAACAAGTTGTAAAACTCCAGGTATGTACCTACTTTAATCAGCTGAGCCTAATTAGTGCTTCACAATTTGGCTATCAGATGGGTAAGAGCACTACGAGTGCAGTTCTATCAATTGTTGATGATTTAATCAGTTGTTTTGAGGATCGAAGCCTTGCTCAGATCACTGCCTGCGACCTGAGCAAGGCATTTGATTGTGTCGACCATTTAATTCTTTGTCAAAAGCTACAGTGTCTGGGTTTTCATGGCGTTCAGCTTGATTTCTTTAAGTCGTACCTGGAAGGGAGATTCCAAATTATAGATGTTGCTGGTAAAAAGTCATCTGCTTCTCATGTCAAATTTGGTGTACCACAAGGTTCTGTGTTAGGGCCTATTTTATTCCTTGTCATGGTAAATGATCTGCCGTCTACTATTAAGCCATCGAAAACCATCATGTTTGCTGACGACACATCTTTCCTTACAGTAAGTAAAGATTTGCCAACTGTGAATGGTATTGCTGATGAAACTCTTAATCAGGCTGTTACATGGTTCAGAGCTAATGGTTTTAAACTTAATGAATCAAAAACACAAAAGGCAATATACTCCTTAAATAGTAGACTTGCTTATTCAGTTGAATTTGTTAAGTGCATTAAGTTACTAGGGGTGCAAATGGATTGTAACTTAACTTGGAATAGCCAAATAGATTTAGTTTGCAGTAAATTGTCAAAAGTTGTATATTTGTTAAAAACTTTAAAATTTTACGTTCCTGTTACTTATTTATTGTCTGTTTATTATGCTTTGTTTCATTCTTTGTTAGACTATGGTATTATTTTATGGGGAAACTCTGGCAGGATAACTGATGTTTTGTTGTTGCAAAAGAAAGCTATTAGGATAGTAACAAACTCAAAGAAAAAAGCTCACTGTAAACCTCTTTTTACTGAAACTGGTGTTATGACTGTTACCTATCTGTTTGTACATTTTTAGGTTATTGTTATTTATAAAATCAAATGAATCAAGTCTTGTTTTCAATAATGACATCCATTCCTATAACACTGGAAGTAGTAGAAATGTTCATATTGATCAAGCTAGGTTAGCTAAAACTTTAAGAAGCCATTCATGTGTAGGTGTTAGACTTTTTAACCATTTGCCTTTAGATATAAGATGTTTGCCTTTTCCTAGTTTTAAAAAAGCCATTCACCTTTTGCTAGTCAACAATCCTTCCTACTGTATTAAGGAGTATGAAAGATGTTTGAATCTGTGATACTGTTAATTGTTTTTGTAGGTAGCTGTGTTATTGTTATTCATATAGGCTAAATCTGTGATATTTAATTTTATTATTTTAATAATTGTACTTGACAAGGTCGTATGCACTGTAATATTTTGTGTTCTTAGACCAATAAATCTCTTGACTCTTGAAACAAATCAAACTGGTTTGGTGTGTTACTCACAAATAAGTTAACAATAATGCCAATTATATTATTAGATTCTCAATTAAAAATTTTAAGCTGTCCATATATCTACAGTATTAACACTGATGCTAAAACAAATAATTTATATTCTGAACTGCAACAGGCATCATAAGAACTAATATAATTGACCTGTATTTTTTGTAACCTTAACCAAACTGCTAAAAAGGATTCACATTTGTCTGCAGTTGATGGAGGAGCCTATTTACCATGTGACTTTGAAGGAGCCAATGAGGACAGTAGGTTGTTGCCAAATCTAGTAATAATACCAGCTGATTTGAAAATATTGTTTAGTATATTTTAATTAGTGTTGAAAAGTAGTAAACGGGGGACGTTGCAACGTCGCGCTAGTCCAGTATTGGTATTGGCTGCGGCAAACTGCAGACTCTCATGTCCCCTAGTATAGGTTGACATTCAGATTTAAATTTTTTATGTTTCTAATTTCAAATTTCTGGTTTTGACCATCGCTACTATGCCCTCCACCATTAGTTATACTCTAGATATGTGTGTAATTAAAGTTATTACACATTTTCATTCTGAAAGGCAAAAAGGTAAAAATAAAGGTGTATCGATAAGTGTAATGAATAATAGTATATTACGTTACTAGTCCTGAAAATAGGTGTTAACCGTACAAGTGTGGTCTCCCGTGCGAGACGAAGTCGACTACTAAATCTGTTAAAATCCTTATATTATATTACTACCAACTAAAGGACTAACAATCACTGGTCATAAGGTTATGTTTTTGTTTATTACCACTCATCGCCATATACAGTATAATCAGCTGGTTGGTGTCCGGTAAAAATCATTAAAGTACAGTAGTACGTAATGAAACCCCAATTGATTAAGCTGATGGCAAACAGCTGTTTTCTGGACTAAATCCTTGCGTGGGAAGTTCATTAAAACAGTGTAGTGTGGCATAAAAATATTTATGTGATAATAGGAATGGACAACACTGTCCATCAACACTGACTGTGTTTTTGTGGTATAGCTATTGTGGTATTAAAATAGAAAATAAAATCTGATAAATTATGTTTCTGTGTCCAACGGCTTTGTATGAGCTATAAAACTACTCAAACCCTACTTTTATAATACATGTACAGTACCTTGACGACAAGTCTTTCATGGGGATGATCAAATATGACTTCTTATCAAGATTAACTCCTCATTGAGGTTTATTTAATATGCAATTAAGGGTAACATAAAATCAAGAAGCAGTGAAAATGACACTTATTATCAAGGGCCACTTTTTATCGAGGGTCTTCTTATTGAGGTTCCAATGTAGGTAGTAGTGATTTAGAATTTTAATTACATGATGCGCAATACATGGAGCTGGTAAATAATTACTACTGTTAAATATATAACTTTTTTATTAAGTTTACATCTCTAAAATATACTTTCAATTCAAAAAGAAATCATTAAACCTTGTATAAAATAAATAAATATTCAAAACGAAATACAAGTAAAAAACCTAAGTCTGGAATGGTATCCAATTCATCGCCAGCAGTCACTTGGCGTACACTGTACAAATTAATTGTGTTAATGGTATTTATTTACAATATTTATATCCCCTATTAAAATTTGTCCACAACAACCTTGAGCGATGACACGTCTAAATGTGATTCTAAATCGGAAATAGTGTGTTCTGTCTTTGTAAAATAAATAATAAGTAAGTAGTACAGTTAACAACAAACATCTTTAATTCAAAAAAAAGAATAACCAGTTACATTTTTTCCAAAAAGAAAAAATATAAATGAGTTCAGCAAAATGTGTTGTGCGCCAATATTTTTATGACATTTGAGACAAGGAAATTCTTGAATTTACCCAATGATGGTGCGGTGAGCTGCATGTTTGAGCGCTACGCTGCTCGAATGCTTTGGATGATCTGGAAAACAGCTGCAACAGACAAATATTATATAGAAAACTATATTTCTATGTCACCTTTGATTAAATAACCATACATGTTATCATGTTGGTACATCATATCATATTTCCTCACGAAAGCACACTAAATTAAGTAAAGGAATAACAAAAACAGCTGATTTGAACAATTAAAAGCGCATAAACATGTAAATTGGAAAATAATT